ACATACAATTTTCTTGTTATTTTAAGGCACAACTCAGGAGTTCACTCTGGTAAAAATTACTCATCTCTAACCTTTGCCATGAATCACATTAGGGACACTGATCTTAAGGAGCCCACGTCAAGTTTCCATAGATGATTATCCTCATTGCCTGAACAAATACACTAGAATGAATTTCACCATCTTGAAATGAATTCTGTGCTTAAAAGGTAGACAGAGTTCCACATCCTGTTCTTTTCATTGGTTAGCTTTGTAAACCTAGAGAAATTATTAAGTGCTATTCACCTAAAATTTACTCATTTATAAACTGGATCTACCTGGTTCTGCAAATAAATAAATAAATAAATAAATAAATAAATAAAATAAAAAAACAAAGAACTGGATCTATAAAAATCTACCTTCCAGATAAGCCTTACAAGGTTATGCATATGAAAAGATATGACATGCATAACTGTTGCTAAGAATTAAAATCCTATTACACTATTTGTTTATATGATAACTGCTTTGGACTGAATTCATCCAAGAAGTATACAGATAAAATAACTGATAGACAATGTCAGCATTTAAAAATAAGACAATATTAGAAGACGACAGTGCCCAATAATCATTTGATCCAATTCCTTTACCCAAATGGTACATCTGGTACATTAAGAGTAAATTCATACTCTAAGATCATCAGTGTAGGCAACCTTTTAGAAGGTCAAAATGTGACAAAGGCTGGGTGAATGAAGGTAAATTTCCTTAGAAATAAAAAATACAATGTACTTCAAATAAGTAGCTTACAAATTCTCTTTTCATTAACTTGATCCATTCCCTTCTTTCCTATCTGATGAGGATAATTAGCAGGGTAGGCCACCACATTTTGTCACAACTGTTTTTATATAAAGGCTGGACCACCAGTTAAGGAGTTCAAGAACCTTTCAAAAGATACCATAGTGTTTTACAAGAAAAGAACAATAAAAAGTAAAGAAGTCAGTCAAGAAAAACTGGGAAATAATAGATACAGCAGACATGCTAAGAAGACTAGAGAAAAAGTAAACTGCAACTTAGAAAATAGCCACTCATTAGAACAAAAGTGTGGGAGAGTAACAGTTTTATTTTATTCAAATAAAAACTAATTTCCTCACAAGTTTGGACTGTCCTTAGAAAACAAGTAGTCAAATGTTTCACTTACACTTTACAACCGTAAAAATATCAATCTAGCTTGAAGATGGGAAGCTATATGCAAAGTATGGTCAAGATAAGTGAATTCGACCATGGAGAAACTCTTAGAACTGTTCTAAATGAGAATTACGGCGCTTCCCTCACTTCCGCTGATGGCAAAGGCTACAAAGGTACATCACAAACCTTTTCCTGCTGAAAACGCCAGCATGACCCTTGTTTATTTATAAGATTATGTATTAGTTGGGCTTCTACAAAGGCTTCAGATAACTCTATTATATCCTTACGAAAATAATTAGCATCCTAAAAAATCTTAGATGAATTTCTTCACGTGATGAAATAGGTAGAATAAGGAATTTTTCATTCCCTTCTCGAGACTATATTCCTAGGAATATAACAGCAGCAATAAACTTAGGTGAGGGGCTCAGGAATCAGTTAAAATAGTCTCTGGTCGGGGCTGGAGAGATGGCTCAGTGGTCTAAGGCACCTACTTAGAACAAGCTTGGCAAAGCATCAGGGACCGCGGTTCAATCCCCCAGCACCACATGCCAGCCAGCCCCACCCCCTGGTGGGCTGAGCTGGCCACACACACACACCACACTCTCTCTCTCTCAAATAAATAAAAAATTAAAAAAAATTTAAAAAAAAAATAAATAAATAAAATAGTCTCTGGTCAAAATTAAGACTCTTCAGAATCGAGTAACTGCTGTTTCTTCTTACATATGAACTGAGTAATGATGCCGTGTTTCCACAGGGGTCTTTCTGTCTTCCGATAACAGATTCTCCCGTGGTTAAACAGCCTCTCAAGGTATCTAATATTTGAAGACCCTCCTCAGGAAGACATTTAGCTGTGGTTGCTTTAGAGGTGACGCTTCCCTCAACAGATTCCACTGGCCTGTGATCCTTGGAGACTGGATAACCCGAGGGCGTGGGTACTGCACCGCTCAGCCGGGGCTCTTAACTAGGACTGGACCTGTGCCACTCTTCTAGCTCTTCGTTTCACTGTCACCAACTGTCAAGACATACCAGCATTTCCCGTGTCCAAGGAGTTAATATGATATGGAAAGTGGTTTTTCATTTAACATTATACTGTTATATCTATATTTGAAATTAACTAATTCCCTTAGGGTCAGCCCAAAGGAAATGTAGCTAGTTAATATCCTGAAATCTGAAATGAGGGAATTATTAGATTTTTTATTACTGGTAGGTAATTATGTTCTCTGCACAGATTCATAGCACCTATACCATAAGTGGTCCTTCCAACCTGACTTTATTTTAATCTTGTTTAATTACAAACTTATAAAATGTATAATTGGATAAGCATTCAATTTTTTCTTGGAGCTAAAGTTTTGGTTAAATCATAAGAAAATTAAACACGCATGCACACACACACACACCATATAACAAAAATGTCAACAACAAATTATTGGAAAGGGAATGAAAACAAGTTATTTTCACTTGACCAAGGTCCACTGGAATACCACATGCCATGCAATGAGTTGAGTAAATAATCCAATCCAGGTCACATATTATTTCCAAGTATAGGAAGAACAGTCTTTAAAAATAATTTCTCTACATAAATTTAAACGTTCCTATCCAAAAAGAAATCGGTGTTTGTTTTCAAAACTACGTAAAGCAATGGTGGCAAACAGCAAATCGTAGGGCTCTATTTAGCGAAAAAGCGTGTGAACAATCGAAGTCAAAGAGAATTCTGAAATGTTAATGCATTCTGCTTAGAGGTTTTGCTTCACCGCTTCTGAAACCTCCAGTATGTTCGGAGTTCCCAAGTAATTTCCATTGTTCACTGAATTAATACATTTTGTACAGCATAATAAACATTTATCACTCTTTCTTAAGAGCATTGACCCCAAAATATTTAGCAAGAAGTGTGATTCAATTGAAATGTTGATTGGAAATGAGGGAATTAAACTGCCACTGATGAAATACTAAAGCTCATTATCAGGGAGTTTCATTTTAAGTGTTCAGAATTAGCTTTATAACTGCGTCAGCGACGATAAGCATGAATCCTAAATCCATGCCATTTAGCTTTTATGAGCATTATTAAAACATATTAACCATAATTCAATTAATTCACAGAAAATGCTATTCTATGAGGTCCCCCCCTTCGGCTCTCAAGAAGAGGTGCTACTTGAGGGAGTGCACACTGTCCTCCTGTGGCACATAGTCTATCAGATCATTTATCCTTATCCCTCCATCCACCTTTATGCACCTCCAAAGTGCTTGCTCTCTTCAGATAGATGCGCTAAGGACAGGACAGCTCGGCAGTGTGCGCCACCCCTTCGCATCCTCAGGACAATACTGACCTCTAGTGTTCTACAAGGTAGACAAGCTAGCTCAGCTAGATGCCTAACTTCTCTGGCAACCACTTAGCTACAGCTTTTTCTACAGGAACATGGGAATAATCCTACAGAAGAGAAAGAAGAAGAAAAGCAGGGTGGGAATGAGAAGGAGGCAGGAGGATGGGGATGAAAAAAAAATCAGACTCTAATTCGCTCCTATGAATATCCTGAATTCATTTCCAATTAAATTTCATCTGTTTCAGCCCTCTCCTAGAATACAAACTTTAATAAAATCTTTAAAAGGCATTACAAGTAATTAGACAGTGCAGCCCTTCAAAACTTCTAGTCACAGGAGAAGCTCTGTCCTGGAGCTTTTTCGGGGCACCTAATTGTCTTTCTTAGGGGTTCAGCTCTCCAAAGAGACACTCCAGGTTTCTGGGGACCACAGGAGCTGGGCGGTGAGTGAGAAGGAAGCCTAAGCAGTAAATGCTCTTTCTACCTTTCTCTGCAAGCAAAAGTGCATTTTACAAATAAGAGGCTACTGCTTCAATATGCCTAACATTTCCGAGGCTCATGGCAGGGATAGAGCATAGGGGAGCGAGCCCAGAAACTTGAGGGACCTGGATAACCCATCTTTGGAAATAACACAGATGGCTTAATTGCATTCTTCCTCATTTAGGAGTTCGCAGCGCTGGAGAGGGGGAAAAAAACCTTCCTCTGTCTAGAGAGGCAGCTGAGCAATTGAGCTTGAACCTCTGAGAGCTCTAGCGATTTATTCAAGTTTGACGAACTGGGTTCCTTAAATACACGATGCAGGTGGCAGATCCCCGGGTGTCCAGTCTGCCTGCCTACTAATGAGATGTCTGTCCCACACTTGCGGTGGGTAGAGCTGTGTGACAGAGTGTACACTTAGTGCATACTCAGTATGTGTTCTTTGGCACAGAAGATTTGGGGGTGGGGGTGTAAGTCAAAGCTCTTCCTCCTGGATCAGGGGCAGCCATTGATCTTGTGGTTGACTCCACTGGCCATAACTCTTAGGTCAAAAGTCCCAGTCCTATCAAATCGGTGCCTGCTGGCTGCAGGACACCCCAGTTGAAGCCCTTTGCTAAGGCAGTGCAGAAGGTGTGTGTGCGTGCGGGTGGGTGGGGGGCGTTCTGCACACCGAGGCAGCCGCATTCTAAGCGAGCCTCTGTCGCCAAGCTAGGTGGCTGGGAGCTCCTGGAAGCAGGTCCCAGAGCACAGGCTTAAACGGGGCCCCTCCCTGCCCTTCTCTGCAGAAGCCGGGCCCAGGCCAGGCAGCACAGCGCGGAGCGAAAACAGAAGGGAACTTTGAGATCTGGGAGAAGGACAGGAAATCCAGCAGGCCTGGCTCGGCGAGGTCTGTTAACTTTTGGGATGGACTGGCGAGGGGGCCGCGCCGATCTGCATCCCCCACAGCCCTCCCCTCGGCCCGGAGCAGACACGATTGCGTACACTTGGGTAGTTGACTGCCCTTCGGAACGCCGCGGCTTCCCACCTCCTCTCCCCGCTCCCGGTACTCACAATTCGTAGCTGTTAATCCTAAATGCCAGAAGCCGGAGAACAGCAAAGTCCAAACGCTGGGCAGCCCGGGCAGCGAAGCCATCTCCGCGAACGAGCGGTCCTTCCCTTCCCGGCGAATCCCAGCTGCGCAGTCGCTCGCCGGCTCCCCAGTCCGTCCGCGCGTCCCTCCGTCCGTCCGTCCGTCCGTCTCCGCGGGCCCCTCCCGCCCCGCCGAGCGGCGCTCGCCTCACTCC